CTGTTTTAGTTCAACAATTAAATGTAATAAACACTAAGCATGAGTGGAATTTTTTTTTTGCTGATCTATGAGAAAATAGAAGACTTAAAGCAAACACTATGCAGCAACACTATATAGCAAAAGGACATTTTCTGTCTTTTTCCTCTGCAGTTGAAGATAAGGGGAATTTAAAGGACAAGAAAGATTGAAAGCACAGGATCAAATCAATTTTGATACCTTTGTGTGTGTCATGCATTTGAAAGCAAATTTTGTCTTGTCAAGGCATGCTTTACTTTACATCATGTGATATTTTAGAAGGTCGACATAATGTTCTTTAAGAATTTACAGATAAATGAATCAATAGAATATTTTTTTTCTGTGTGGGTGAATTATTTACCAGCTGTTTTGAAGACTTTTTTTGGTTACTCTTGAGAGATTTTATAAATCCTGTTGCTTTCTTTGCAGGAAAACGTGAAGAGTCTCTAAATAAGTACAACTCAGCCCTCACCGAGCTGCCAGCCACAAAGTGAGTCCACACACTCATCCACATACCCCTCTGACATCAAGGCCAATGGAATTGCCACATCCTGTTAAAGTTGTTTTGTTTCTTTTGATCCAATTTGTCTGTTGAAGTCTCCATTTTAGGGACAACAAACGCCCCCTGCTGCAACTGACGTTTTACTGAAATTTCCTGCCTTTTTAAAAAAGCTGTACAAAGACAAGAAAACCAAAAAGCTCAGCTCATAGATCTTTTTTCTTTATCTTGCTGTCAGGTCCCAGGATGGTTTCAACCTACTGCTACGTCGCCATGGAGGCTCAAAGAGAAACTCGCTGCTCCGCTGGTGTCAGAGCAGAACCCAAGGATACAAGGTGAGTCAAGAATCAGTTTAATGTTTTGTGGATTCCAAAACACTAAACACAGTTTTCACAGATTGGAAACACTGTTCGTAAATGTTAATCAATAAATGCTTTAAAGTAAGCTAGATTACTGTTAGCACACTGTCTCAGCTTTCCACATTTCAAACAATAACTAAAGAATGTCTTCCAGTTTTGGAATTGCTTCTAGTTGGGTGACAACCACAACTTGCTACATATTGCAGCCTCTATACAGAGTATTTGAAGGCCTTGAACCTCAATGACCATAATGATAGATGGGAATAAAAAGAACTAGGAACTATAAACTATAATGGTACTAAACTTAATGTATGCCACTATTATTAATCGGATTTAAATTAAGACTAATCTGATTTAAATTCAATATAATTGAATATTGATGACTAAAATGTAATTATAAAGGACTACATGAAGTTCTTTTTAGCTGTCATAAAAGTAGTTTTTCATGTATTTGTAATTGCATTGTTATGTGATTGAAATGAGGCTTAAACAGGAAGTAGGCAGGTGGTATTAAATTATATTTTAATGGGGACTGTAAAGGAAAACCATATAAAGCAGTTCAAATAGGTGAATCTGGAAGGGAGGTGACTTTAGTGGGATGTATTTAAGCTGGGGCACTGATTACTGGCCACAGAGGTGCTTGATTATTAACACTTTGGAGCTGATGGAGGAAAGCCAGGATCTTGATTGAGCTGATGATAGTTTGGTGCAGAATAACTAAAACAATATGAAAATGCTACTAGGAAACATACTAGAGTTAACTAAAGAAGATGAACTCATCAAATTACCAACAGAAATGAAAGAGTAACCAAAAATGCAAAAACATAAGTAGTCACTAAAACACAAAATGTTACATAAGTGAAAACAAGAAAAACTCAAAGGACCTCAAGCCTTAAATACCTTTCTGTATCACTAGAGCCTTAGATCTCAACAAATCAGTCCAAATATATTGTCATGCAAATAGTTCACATGGGCATACATGCTGAATTCAAGTCAAGATGCAAATAGCAGAACAATCCTATCCTGTATTAATTCGAAACTACGATTGTAAAATATGGAAAGATTCTTTATTGTCTTAGTTAAGTGACATCTCTAGGTTGAATTAACCTTTCCTCTTCATTCAGAATATTGACATCACAAATTTCAGCAGCAGCTGGGCAGATGGCCTTGCATTCTGTGCTGTCTATCACACTTACCTCCCTTCACACATCCCTTACAGCAGCCTCAGTCCTGAGAACAAGGTACAAAATGCACACATTGCTGTATTGTGGATTAAACCAAGCTATTGCTCATGTTCAACTTAACTTAACAACTTGCCCCTTTTTTAGCAAGAAAATCTCAGCCTGGCATTCAAAACAGGAGAGACTGTGGGGATTTCCCCATCACTGGTAGGGGACACTTCCTTGATTCCATGTTCAAAGTACATTTGGTTTGTGTTCAAGCTGGTAAATTTTTCCGAAATATTTCTCCAACAGACAGCAGATGAGATGCTGCGAGCAGGTGGGCCTGACTGGCAGAGGGTGCTGGGTTATGTGGAGAGCATCTACCGTCACTTTGAGATGTGACCGCATGAGATACTGAGGTGATACAGGGGGAATATTTTGAAGAACATACACATTTTTTATAACTTCTACCACATTTTGGCAATAGTTGATAGTTAATAAGACAACTTGGTCCAGATATAATTATTCTGGAAAAGGTCAAAACAAGGGTGTATAACCTGCGTTGTGTGCTTTAACAGCTAGTGCCTCATGTAATAGAGTCAAGGAAGTGCACTATACAAAATATATGACCGATAGTTGAAGACAGAGGATCCAAAAATTACTTACACTTAGCGACTTCTTAGATATTTAGCTTTTAAATTGAGAACGATCAATAAAGGGCATATTTCAGGACTTTTAGGAATCTTCTTTGAAATTTTCTTTCCAAAAGATATAAAAACAACAAAACAACAACAAAAAATATATATATACATATATATATAACAGAAGGCAGTCCAAAAACAAGTTGAAGAATGATAAAGTCAGAATTGTCAATCAAGAAGAGAGCAGTGATGAGGAAGTCTGCAGAAGAGTTTAGCCTCCCATCCATTCATCCATCCATCCATCCATTATCTGTTCACCCTTGTCCCTAATGGTGTCGGGAGTTGCTGGTGCCGATCTCCAGCAGCGTTCCGGGCAAGAGTACCGGGTACACCCTGGACAGGTCGCCAAAAAATTTTACTTTTGAAATTTTTTCATTTATAAATTAAATAAAATAATTTAATTTATAAATTAAGTCCGCCTTTCCACAGTGCTGTGGAAAGGCGGACTGCGACTTTTTTATATTTATTAATAGGATTTATGGGTTTCTGGCACTGATACAAGTTGAAATATGCCCTTCAATGTTCAAAAGCATTGAATATATATTTTTTCAAGCATTCTTTTGTGGAGGATGCTAAGTTACTGTAAGTGTCTCCACACTGGTACTTTACTGGTAGTAAGTACTGTATACTAAAAGACAGCAGTTTTCCCTCTACCTATGGTTTTAATTGTCAATATATTTTTCCTTTTGCTTTTATATGTGCAAAGATGCAATATTTACTGGATGCTTTGGTACTCTGTGGATGTGCACTTTGGAGATGCCATTGCTCTACATTATAAATCTGGGTTCTTTTAGAGGCTTGAGGATTCTTCCCATTAAAAGGGAGTCATTCCTTTCCACTATTACCATATACTTGCTCAGGATGAGAGATTGCTGCAAAGTTAATGATAAAATGCAGCAAACCATCCACTATCACCTCATGGCTCAAGAGGAAGAGCTGATGTGAAGTCAATAATGTAATGCAAATTGCTGGCCTTACTTTGATAGATAACCTTTGACCAGTTTGTGTCACAAAAGGAAATTTGACTGAAATGACACCACTCACTATGAATCAACATCTTAATTTTAACCCATCTTTATGATTATGATTGAATTGATTATTGTCATGTAAAGTGCCTTCAGATTACATAGTCGAGTTTAGTACTGAATGACTGACGGAAGCAAGGGTCTTGTCAGGTCGAAAATGATGATTATTAACATATGCATCCTGAAAACCCCTTTAGTCTGCCAGTGTCGATTGGGTTCTCTGTTATCTGAATTACAAATAAAGTGACAAAGACAAATACTTACTTATACAAGCTTTAAATCCAGTTTCAACACCATCACACTTCTTTCTGCTTCCTCATAATTCATAACTGCTGTTGTTGTTACATGTTTAAGCAAGGTTTGTTGCCAAAGATTTATGTGCCAAATTTTGGAAGCTGTAAAATAATGTCAAAATGTAACTAGTGTGAACAGCTTATTCCAAAGCAATAAAGTGTTACAATATTACTGTGAGTATTGTGTAATTGTGTAACACCATTTAACAACAGCTACTGTGACAATAATGTAGAAAATTATCCATTTATGGTGGTTAGTTTCAAAATGAGACTTTCCCCCATTAGGAGCTAGGAGGAGCATGTGATTTGAAAGGTAAGGCTTTATCACCACCTACTGGTAAAAACCAGGTGATGCATGCGAACTTGAGGATTCCCTCTGAAACATTTAATCACTCCCGGGTGATTAAACCCAGCTGGAGTCTTAGTGTAAATTCTTATCCTATGTGCTTATATTTGTGACGACCAACACATTAATTTAATACAGATTCAAAATGCATAATTTATTATAATAAAAGCTGCAATAATTTACAAAAATACTCATATCCCCTGAATTTTAAATTGTTTAAATGTCAAAACTACAAACTTTTGAGTGCATTTCTATCCATCTCCTTAGTCTGCTACCTTTAAATAAATTATGCTCACTGATTTACTTTCAGTAGTCAGCTAAAGACCATTAGAGTTTACTTAACTTTAATTATGAATACAGCCATTCTATGAGAGCTTCAGAGGTTTGTTAGAGAAGATATGTGAACAAAAGGCAACATGAGGGCCAAGCAACACATCCGACAGGTCAGTGGTGAAGAGATTTAAAGTAGAATCATCTCCAGGTTTGGATTATAAAACAATGTCCCAAGCTTTTGACACCTCAAAGAACAAAGCTCAATTTGTCATTTAAAAATAGAAAGTAGAAAAGTAAAAAGACTTTGACATCAACCTACTCTGAGCATCAATAACAGTCAAGAGGCCATGGGTAGATTTGGTAATGCTCAGATAGGAAATAATGTCTACAACAGAGGACTCCACATATTTGGGAGTTACGGATGATAGGAAAGAAGCCAGAAGGCCAGTTTGCAGCTTACTAAGAAGGGAACATACCAGTGATGTTGTCAGAGGAGACCTAAATCAAACTATTTTCCCTATCTACAAAATCAAAAAGCAAAGCTGCACCTTGTACTGAGCACACAGTTCTCACTATGAAACATGGTCCTGGCAGTATCACACTGTGAGGATGCAGACACCAAAAATATACTGCCAGAGCCCTATTGGGACAAATTAGGTCAACATATATTTTGGGAAAATGTTGGTGAAAGCATCATGCTGTGGAGATGATGTTCATCTGCAGGGACAGAGATGTGAGTTAAAATACAACTAAATTTGGGGCAGACTGGGGAGAAATGCACACTTTTTAATATTGAAAATCATGTATTTTCCTTTCTTCATATTTATGTAATTCTTTGTATCATGTAAAGTCTATAAAATACACTGGTGTTTGTGACTGCAATTTGACAAAATGTTTAAAGCCTGAAAAGTGTGTTTGCATCAAATATTCCACAGAAGCTTGCATGCTTCAAGATATTCAATATGTTTGACACAGATTATGCATACAATAAGGCTTAGACAACACTGAATGGTGAGAAACACAAAACCTGTCCTTCTGGCCGAAGGTACTGAGAACATGAGAACGTCCTCTTCCGCCCTTCAGCTTTGTCAAAGAATTTGTGTGTGACAACATTTGGGTAAAACTTGTAGTTGGTATTGGGACAGCAGTTGGACTGTTTCCTCTCAAATGGTCAGACGGATTTTCTCACGGCAAGTTTTGGATGTGGAACTAAAGTTTCACTTTTAAACGAGATCACAGATGAACAACATGAACAGAATATGGACCCTCGTTCTGTTTTGCTGCTTCTGGCTTGACACAAGATTCACCCAAGTAAGTAGTGTTGTTATTCTGAATGAAATGACAGTTTTCATTCTCCCCGAAGACAAACTTAACCAGTTTGCTTGGCCAATGTCTCTTTCTTTGTTTTGGCCAACAAGTGATAAGTGCAAATTGATATTTATCCTGAGAAATGTAACTAAGTGCAGAAATGTTCTGGTCAATCCCGACTCTTTGAAGAAATCTCCAAAAAGCTCCTTGGTAACAGACTGTTACGATCATTAGTTTGCAAAACTGACTTAATCTATTTCTGTTCTACATTGATATTTTACTCACTTCTTTTGTACAAGACGTCACAAGGTGTGAGTCGAGTAGCGACCTTTGTCTTTCAGTCCCATTTGCCACTTCAATGTTTTCCTGACTGCTGTGACTTCCCACCAAGGGGACAAGTGTGGGACAGAACAACATCGATCATATTCTTTATTATGGGAGTCTGCGGGTGGAGGCTGTGTGGCAGGTGGTGGGCCAAGCACATCTCCCAGGCGTCCAGTACCTGGACGTTCACCCCTTTGAATATTTCCCTGAGGACCTTATAACACTGGAGGGCGTACCAGTCACTGCTGGTCCATATCTCATTGAGAACTGACCCTTTGGGATTGGAAGTCCTGATGATGACCAGCGTGTCTGGAGCTCTGGTCAGCAGCTGCACCACTGCCCTCTTTATGTTGAGCAGACGTCGGATGTAGACCTCCATGGGGAAAGAGGTGAAGTGTGCCCAGACGCTAATCACTACGACGGTGTCCGGGCCTCCGGCCACAGTTCTCAACTCGGTGGCAATGTGGCGCGTCTCAATGGCCAGCATGGGGGTGTAAAGGATGGGGGTGCCGTGGCATCGGTACGTCAGTAAGATGTTGTTTTTGTAATCCAAGGCCATGTATGGTCCTGCCTTCCCAGGACTTTTCAGGTCAAAGATCTTGAGATCTGAAATTATAGGAAAGAACAGATTAGACTGCGGCGTGACGCGGCCTCAGCCGTCGGCGGACATTTCTGCCACGTGTCTACCTGGGGTTGTTGCAGTTAAAAATTCAAAAAATTGCCTGACGGTGGAGTCTCCATAGAGGTGGACTACTTTCCCTTTCAGACACTGGGTTCTCGCCGAGGCGTTGTTAAACTGACGGACTGTGGTGCCGTCTAATGCTCGCCACGCTCCCTGGTAGTAATAACCAGCAGGTTCAGCCTTCACAACTTCACTGGTCCCATCTGGAAGGTAAACGGGGAGGTTAAAACTTTCTTTCGTCTCTGATTGTAACTATTCACCTTTAACCTTCGCAAACATTGGCTTTCACCAGTAACTTCTTCTACCGTGGCTTCTGTTACTGATTGATCTTCTGTTAGCATCGTAGCTTCATGCAACGGCTTAGCACCACAATGCATTAAAGATCTGCTGCTGTTGTATCAACCAGAAGACCTCTGAGGTCCTCTGGTTCTGGTTCTGCTCTGCATCCCCAGAACCAGAACCAAGGGAGGAGAAGCAGCGTTCAGCATCTATGCACCACAAATCTGGAACAAACTACCAGAAAACTGTAAACAGCTGAAACACTGACTTCCTTTAAATCTCAACTGAAAGCCCACATGTTTAGAGTTATATTGGAATATAAGCAATTATGAATGTAATGATGGATCTTGACTTAAATGTCATTGTTGAGTCTATGTTGGATGACTTTGTGTTTCGGTGTTTATGGCGTGACGCACTTTGAAATGCCTTGCTGCTGAAATGTGCAACACAAATAAAATGGGATTGATTAATTGATGCTAAGATTCAAGAGATTGCTTCACCCTGGATAAATAATGTCATTTGAAAATGACATTAGTAGTGTAGTGTTTCCAGTTATGTTTATTTCTTCGTTATTTTATCTCCCTACGTTTAGGTCCGTTTCTTTCGTGGTTCCAGTTAAGTTACTAAGTCCTTCTAGCTTGCCCCCACAGTGTTCCTAGCTTTTCCTATCTGGTTACTTTAGGTTGAGTTCTGTTACATCTGCATCCATGAGATGTAACAGAACAAGACTGAAACAAGAGAAAAAAGGATGTTTTGATGACGACAGATGGACGTAAAGTGACATTTACCTTTAAGTTTGGGTAAAATGTTGATGCCGAAAGGCCCCGATGACGGAATGGAGACTTTCATGTTGACGCCACTGCAGCAAAGATGAGCAAATGGTAAAAGTGTCATGGGATGTGATGCTGTGTCGCAATCCTAGTACCTGCCTTTTCTTTTGTCCCGTTGTTGCTACAACCTGCATGTTTCTTATTCCAACTGGGCCTCCATTTTCAAATTACACTCAGCAACTGAAGTCAGTCGAAGATGAATTTACAAAACCTCAGAAAGAAACCAATATGCCTCTCTTATGATGAAGTCTATTGGCGCTAAAAGACCATTTGTATCCAGCATCATGTCTCGCGACTGACGTGCAGAGATGGTATCTTCTTTTCTTTGTCTGCTTTTGGCATTTTTTTCTCACACACCAATCTTTCAGGTTTGTCAAACATCCATTCGTGCCTGAGGTCTTTCAGACCCAAAGTCATTCTCTTTTTAGTAAGGAATGTTTTGTTGTAATACTAAACTGAAAACTTAAAACTTATCTGACGAGACATTCTCCGTTTGGCTGGGGTCATTTTGTACAAGATAAAATGAAAATGAACAGCAAAAAGTTCCACTTTGTCTTGTCAGACTTCTTGCAAAAGGATTTGAGCCCACACTTTAAGTAGGCCAAACTAAAACCGTGATTATGGAGATTTATTTTTGAGCCACTTAGGGTTGGGCTGCCTTTCCCTACTGCATTACCCACATAGGGTTGGGTATTTAGCATTCCCAATAATGATCCAGTACTCTGACAAGAAGGGCGGTGCACAAACAAACATTACGTTATAAACTCCAATCCAACTTCCCTTTGAGGCAGGCCAGACCGTTACGCAACACCTCTCTAAAACTCAAACTGCAACACAAATCATCATAATGGATTGTAGGACTTCATTATGATGAAGGGAAGTGGGATGTGTTTGCCAAGCTGATGAGGATTCTGCAGAGCCAGAGTGGTTGAGTCCAAATGTAACGTCGCACTCACCGCTGAAAGAGCTGACTTTCGTTGGATTCTGGTTTGAAATGGAATCCTCCTTTGGAGTGGGTGATCCTGTTGTCACAGCTCAGTTTCTGTGGCTTGTAGCAGAACCAGGGCTCGCCCGTGTGCAGGTCAGTGTAGTTGCACAGCTTCTCTTTGGGACCCTTGAGGCACACGTTGCACATAACCGTCTCTGCGACGGCGCCTGAGCGAAAGACGCTAAGAAAATGTGCTCTGTCTGGATAGTCGTGGGTCACTTTTGCCAAGACTGTGATCGCCTCACTGGGGTGAACCAAGGACACCTTTTCAGAGCAAAGACAGAACAAAAAACAGAGTTATTAAACCAAACATTATTACAAATTACATTATTGTATGTTCAGGGGTGTGAAAAAGTTTTTCGCCTCCTTATTCCCCATTTATGGATCGTTATTCGTTTATGAGAGTTGCATAAACGGAAACTGTATTTAAGGGAGAACACACAAAAACAAATGTATTTCTGACTGGAAAGCCAGCTTCAAATGTTCACATTTCATTTCTATTTCTTTATTCAGAGCTTTTTACTGTGCTGCCTGTGGAAAAGCGAAACCAAGGTGATCCACATCCACATCACTGCAACCCGTGTTGTAAAAGCTTTTGAGTCTCACCTCAACTTCTGCGCTTCCTTCCCAGAGCAAAGCGAACACGGCGGTGTAGGAGCCGTTGCGGTGATCCAACACTTTCCCCACCACGCCTGCCAACGCGGCACGGTTCTGCAGCCGGGCGTAGAGCAAGTCTCCTCCAGACTTCCTGGGGCGACCGCGGAAGTCGGAGACTTTTACCAGAACCTCCAGCTGATCCCCGACGTGCCAACTTCCCCCTCCTCTCCGCGGCAGAATGGTGAAGGAGCTGCGAGCCGGATCGCTGGTGTCGTCCAGGGAAAAGTCAGGCGGCACAGGCGGCGTTTCGGGCCAGGCGATGGCCTCCTTCAACATGTTGACCTCTGTGGCGTTTTCAGGTGACGCCGAGTGGAAGGAGCAGACGCTGGCTGGCTCAGTGGGATGTGACGGAGTGATGGTTTCGGGTACCGGCGGCATTGTGTCAGTCGTCTGAGGCAAAAAGACAAATTTTGTCTTAAACTAGAAGAAAATTTACAGCTTGTACACATAAAGTGCCCTGCAATGACAGTTTCATTTCAAAAATACTGATTACTTTAGGAAGTTGAAGTCTCCATGTGAGAATGAAACACGCAGCACTTTTCATGTGGCATTTGCTGTCCTATTGTTATGGTGACAAGTCTGTTCAGTTTCTCTAAATGCTTTTCATAAAGATGTTCCAAAGATATTTATTTCTTAAAGTCAAGAAATAAATATCTTTGTGTTAGAATAATTATGTTTTGTTATCATTCTTACATTGGTAGTTATAATAGATTCACATCCCTGAGAAAAGCTCTCATACTTGTTAGCTACAGCTGTGTACAGACCTTGAAGCTGTAACCACTTGTATCTTCGGGATTCTCCTATCTGCCTCCCTCCACATTCCTTTTCTACTTTCTACTTTGTAATAAAAGAGAAAGCCCTAACAAAGGGCCTTCAGAGCGCTCAGTGAACGGCTGGAAGCAGCAGTTTGCTGGGTTCTCTCCTTTTGCAAAAGCTTTCATAAAATTCACTTGCGTTGTCCGTTTGTTCTTTTATTTAGATTCACAAATACCTATCATTTTGCTTTATTGTTTTGTCTTTATACATTTTAGAAATTCTGAGTAAATTTAGAAAAATATTCTGATCCACTCTCAAACAGATTTAGACATATAAACCCTCCTGATTCTTTGTAATCTCACTGAAAGCTCTGGCTATAGCTAAATGATGCTAACATGAAAAAGCTCAGATATTCCAAATAGGACGACAGGTTCCTGAGTTTTTTGTTTCGTCTCTTTTTTTGTTCTGCCCTGGCTCCCTGTGGTCTGTTTTTTTTTTATGTTTTTTTTTATTAGTATTATTTGTCCATTGACAAATTGCAGGTGGAGCTGATTAAAACAACTTCCTGTGGAAAATAAAAGAATAACAAAGAAAAAAAATCAAGGTGATTTTGAGCTGAGATTTTAAACAAATTTGAATCAGGAACACGGTTCTGAAAAATATTATGTTTAAGCTGATAAATTTAGCTTTACCTGTTTTTTGGAAAGTGAAAATAATTTTTTCTTTTGGTCACTGTTTGATCCTTTTTCAACTGATGATATGAGCATTTTCTTTTGAACTTAAGATAAGGTAGACATGTTGATTAAAAAAAAAAGAAGCAAAATGGATGGAGCATGTACATACCTTTCTGAAAATGCAGAGTTTCTGTGAAAGCAAAAGACAACGCATGAGTCCAAATACATCCCATGAACAATTTATGAATGTGAAAGCTGCAACAGGTTAGGTGAACAAAAAAATTTTACACACCCTCAATCCAAAGCCCAGTCTTGGATGTGGAAGTGCAGAAGAACAAAGTAAAGAAATCTCAGTCTTGACAGAAGGGTGGGACAGTAAAACCAGAAGATTTGCTGCCAGCGGGCAAAAGGGATCTCAAGATATTGGCACAAACAAGATGGCAGCAAGAGGGTTGGAAAATGAGAGTTAAGATTTTCACCAAATTACCAAGAGAAGTTAGTAAGAGACAGTTAGAAAGACAAGGATGAGATGATGAAAATATCTGGGTTTTCGAATTGGCAAACCTCAACTGACAGAACCACTTCTTTGTTCTCATCACAAAGGGCAAGTGGAGCCCAACTTCCTGACAGAATGACAATAAACAAATTTCTCTCAGGTCGTTGTGGGCGGCACCGTGACGTGGGCATAGTGATCACGTGTGTTTCTGAGGCTGTTAATATCGACGCAGTTTTACTTATCGAACGGTTAAAAATGACCGAGAACAGCGTGAAGGATTTCGTTGAAGTGTTTCAGAATCGGTGCAAACGTTTCCCTTTTTGCCTAAATCGGAACACGGTCACCCTAAGACAGCGGTTTGGAGCAGAAGCAGGAGAAAGTCAAATGGTGCTTATGAAATTAGAGCAAATGAACAAAACATGCCAAGCGCTCACCCCGTCGAGTATGCAGCTGCTCTGATCGCTGACGTCCATGTAGTACAGCATGAACGACACCACGGATAAAGCCATGAAGAGAAGGACGGAGCTGCACTTCACGAGGCAACGGTTTCTGGAAGCTTGGCCTTCGTTTAGCAGGGGTGTCTTGATTTCACTCTGCATTAAAAGACAAACGCATAAAAACACAAAAAACATTCCCTTGTACATTTCCAGTCTGTTGGCGTGAGGAATGCATGTGTTGAGGGGATTTGACAAACGGATCATAAAGAAACAAAGGTACTGTGTTCGAGCCAAGCCATGTTAGTTAGTTAAACAAATGCTGCCATTACAATGCATTTTATAAGATGCACAAAAATTTTTCTTCCATCCTTTCACTGCCCTTAAGACTCCCTTCAAAAGAAAAGCATCACAACTCAAACAGGAACACCATTTGAACACTGCAGTCAACATTTTGTCCACATACTCATACCAGTCAAAGTTTGGACTGTAGAGTATGGGAAATGTCGCCATCTGGTTAGTTGGGGGAGACTACGATAAAAGCCTGGGAATAGTACAGGAGCACAGAAGGAAAAAACGGTAAGTTCCCGGCCAAAACGGGAGACTCGACACGTCTGCGTGTGTCGAGTCTGCAAATAGGTTCTTGTATTTAATCTTAACCTGGTATCATGTTTGTTCAATATAATATGGAGACGATCTGGCTCAAACAAAGAGTCAGATTCACATGTTATAATGTCGACTTTAACTCTTCATTTAGTAGTTGTTTCTTTGAGCCATGACTGGTGTGATTAGGACATATTTTTAACTTAAGAATGTTTTAAAATGTATAGATTGTGCTAATTACACACTCAGATGGTCTGCTATAGCAGTGGTCCCCAACACCTCGGGGTGCGGACCGGTACCGGTCCGAGGACCAATTGGTTCCGGGCTGGACAAGAACTAAGAACTCCGTTTTATGTATTATTTGAGCCTGGAGGAGCTTTTGTTTTGAAAATCCTTCAAGTGGATTCTCTGGGTTATGTCATGTGCGCCAACATTGAGCCACCAGCAGCGAAATGAGTCAGAAACAGATCAGATTCTTTGCAAAGTTTCTTTGCAAAGGGAAAAGAGACAGGAGGATGGATTCATCCCGGTAGGCTGCTCCCACAGTCCAAGCTGCTCTGCAGGATAAGGTGACCAATTCGCTAATGAGGCAATGAAGCGTTAAACTGCTTCGCCACAGAGAGACCATAAATACCTTGTGCATTCTTGGTCTGATCAAATGACCAATCTATAAAAATATTAATGACTGAGAGATCTTTGTTTGCTTCGGGATGCATGTTTCTTTCATTTCTGGAGGAGCAGGAAGCGCAACAAATTGACAACAAACAGAGTTTGTCTGTCCCTGGTAAAACATCAAAGGCTGAGTTTAGAGTTTATGACCCAAAGACACAGGATCTTGAGAACTACGCCTGAGGACAACAGCTGCACAGAGATAGGAGAACTACAACCCTCCAATCACACGTCATACGTCCTGAAAGCCTATTCTTCTACCTAGACTGTAAAGTTTTCAGTATGAAACTATATGTAGGTCAAGTTTATAGAATGTTTCAGAACTGCGATTGAAAGATGATAGTTTCTCAGTCACAATGCCACAGCTCGGTTGATGTCCACATCAAAGTGTTTCGACGTGAAACCGTTTCATTTAGACACACGTCGCCATGACGAGTCAGGAGGCGGAATAGCAAGTGTGGCAACCAGCACTGACCAATGACGTTTCTGAGCATCCCACACATATGCTACAAAGCGCCACCTATTTACCCAAAGCTCTGCTGTGGGGCTTTTGATGCACAGCTCTACAGAACCAGGTGACTCTGAACCCATCCAGGTCCTGAATGAACACTTAGAACAGATGAACGCGTGGATGTGCCACAGCTTTCTCCAGCTGAACTGAAACAAAACAAAAGTTATTGTCTTTGGAGCAAAAGAGGAACAATCTGGAGTCAACGAACATCTTCAGCTGCCGATCGGTCCAGAAAATTGGGTGTAGTGAACCAGATGACTCTGAACCTTCAGAGTAACATAAAGACAGTTACAAAGTTGGCCTTCTATCACCTGAACAACATGTCCAGGATTAAAGGACTAACGTCTAGGCAAGACCCATCTTCGTTGCATCCGTTAGTGGAACAGTGTCCTCAAAGGCATGCCTAATAAAACTTATCTGATCTGGAACGCTGCTGCTCGCATCCTCACTAAAACCAGGAACATAGACCGAATAACACCAGTTCAAAAGTCCTTCAACTGGCTCCTTGAAGCTCACAGAAAAGGCTTTAAAGTACTTTTGTTAGTTTATAAATCACTGAGCGGCTTAGCACCACAATACATTAAAGATCTGCTGTTGTTGCATCAACCTTCTAGACCCCTCTGGTCTTCTGGTTCTGGTTCTGCTCTGAGTCCCCAGAACCAAACCCAGAGAAGTAGCATTCAGCTTCTATGCACCACAAGTCTAGAACAAACTTCCAGGAAACTGCAAAACAGCTGAAACACGGAGTTCCTTTAAATCTAGACTAAAAACCTTGCTGCTTAGAGACGCTTTTGAAACATAATGAGCAACATATTCGATGTGCATTATTTTGACGATGCCACCCGTGTTTCAGCACAAAGATGGCACAGACAAAAAGTGACTCTTAAAGCCGTCTAGTGTGTTGTGCAGTATGTTTGCAAATCTACTTTCAGCAATCGTTGAATAAAGGAGTCTTATAACCAGTCAACATCTGTGCTGTTGCTGTAATTTGATGGTTGTACTGTAATGAGTCGAGATAAAAGTATTGTAAAAAGTATTGTAAAAGTTGTGGAAGACCATACCTTTACTGGTCAACCAGATGAACCAGATAACCTTTAAAGCCCTACCTGCAGGTTGGGCTTTAAAGGTTAAACCCCAACCTTTATAGCCCTATATACAGGTCGACAGCATAACACAGTTGTGATGTAGACTGTATAATAGATCCCTTTATTCAGTCTAAAAAAATCAGGTGATTGCATGGGATATACCGGACTATAGTCAAGTATGTGCTGTAGAGGGAGTGCGTAACTGAAGTTAGGCGGAAAAAATCTGAACAATCTCAAGAAGTTACCACCTCAAAACCCTTTAAGTTTCAGATGAAAAAAAAGAGAGAGAGAGAGAGAGACAAATGAAGCAATTTTGGGTCTTTTTTTAATTTACCTTTGCTTTGGTTCCCATCGCCGTCCTCACTTTGTCACGTCCACAGAGCTGTATGCGGATCGGTGCGTGCGTCTCTGTCTGCCCCTCCCTCTTTCCTATCAGGGTGTAACCAGCTCTTACAGCCTGTGGGTGTATCAGGCAGAGCTTCAGCACAAGACTTTCTGCTGCAAGAGCTGCCAGATTGGTTTTGCCTTCTCGTTTGCATTCCTGGAGTTCCTGAAACTTATCCCCCCCGCTCATTCCTTGGACTTTGGTAACCTGCTTCTGCCATCCAACCATCTTGTGGTGAGACCTTCCTCTTTGAATCTCCTCACCACTTCCCTGCTCAACTTCCTGAAACTTTTTACCCAAACACTTTCTTTACAACTCGCTGCTCAATTACGTGCAGCCCTTCAACGTCTAAGCACATTTGTTTCATCATCGTGATAATTCAACAGCACAGGCAAGTACAGAGAAATGCTTTCCATATATGGTAACTCCAACAGCTTAGCTTTACACAGGATGTTACTATTTTTGAACACAGCTGCAAAAGCGTCTGCACATTGTTACATCCACCAGGCTCGTTTTGTGGGGTAACATTAAAGGAGACCACATGAGGATTACCAAATTAAGTAAAAATGTAATTTATTAAAGTATACTAAAAAAAATAACACCTGACAAAAATACCTGAAATGAGAAACCAAAATAAGTTAGTGAAAAAAAGCTGTAACTAATCAGAAATAAGCAATTGCAAGACAAAACCCAATAAAACCTGATCATAAGATACAAAGCCAAACCAAATGGAGTTCTGAGGGGAGAGATTCAGCTTGAACAGGGTTAACTATTTAAATTTAAAAAAATTAAGAGTGCTTTTTTGACACTGGATTATACCAAGTCACAAATCACATTAGAGTGATAGTGGTACCATATTGTTTTCTTATTTTATTTTTATTTTTTTATGCCAAGTCGAACATAACCTCTGTGCTTTTTTGCAGTGGTGTTAACATGAAGGTGTACATTACAGCTTGTGGAGCTGCCAACACTACAGTTTCAGCAAAACAAAACACCCTTTAGACACCCTTTAACGCTGATGCCATATTGAATTCTTAAATTAGTATAATTTTGTCTGCACAACATTTATTTAGAGAGAAATGCACCATCAGTTTGCCGTTTTATTTAGTAAATAAAACCAATATTTTAGATACAGCAGTTCCAAAAGCTTTGCTGCAAGAACATTTCCAAGCAGATGGATTTGTTTTTTTATTATTGTTTTTAGTTTCCTTAGTCCTCTCACTCTTTTTTTTGTTGTTGTTGTTTTTTTTTAAAAAAAAACTGTGCTTCAAATAATCAAGAGGAAGTTGCAAATGTTCTGATGACTGAACCCTCTGGTTACTTCTACAACGGTGTCTGGCGATCACTTGACACACAGGCTGTCAGTTTGACACCTCCGCCAAAATGAGCCGCTGCCTGAAAGGCAAGGTGCAAATATCGGAAAATCTGGAAGGTGTTTCGGCCCTTGTCAGGCTGCTGATGATGCTGAAGACAGTGGAAATTAGGTAAAATTGCTCTTTTGCTACTTTCCGAATCGGAAGCAGCAATCAGAAGCCGCTCGAGGACAGGACCGGCGTTTCCTTCTGTGCAGTCCCATTCTGTTTGGGATCCTTCTCAGAGTGTGCAGATTATGACTGGTTTCAAGCACAATGCGAAGGAGAATCATTATAATACCCTTTCACAAATATATATACAGTAAATTATAACGAACAGCATTTTATAAAACCAAAGGGTCTTTCTTGGAGCATTTATATGTCTTCGTCCATTAGGTTAGCCATTTTGAACTTCATAGAAATGTTTGTTTTTTTCATTGCTGTCAATAATGTCACATGAGATCAGTTTTTTGCAACCACTTCATTTGCATCCAGCGATGCAAAGTCCAGCTTGTCAATAGTCATTTTATCTACAGCCTGAAACGTTTACATCTCCCAGGATACAGAAATAGTTTGAGGGTTTATATCACATTCAAAGTGTATGATTTGTCAAAGTTCTTACAGTTTACCAAGGCAATTAGAATGAAAATCATTAACTCTTAAAACAGAATGATTGAATCATTTACCGATGCGGAAGTGGAAATTAAATCTTATCAGTCAAGAATGAGTGTCATGGTTAGCACGCACTATTGCTTTACAAGGAAAGAGGGTGGGCAAAATAAACAAGAGAGAGGAACAGCAGAGACGTGTGGCCGACGATGCAGAAAAACGCCAAGGTAAATTAGAAAGATTGACTAACATTCTCTCATCTTTTGAAAGAATCAATGCCACTTATTGTAGATTTAAAGAATACTGAGCTGTTATTCATTCTGTCGGGAGAAGAGGATTTACCAGTTCTTATTTGGAATGATAGTCGCTCTTGAATTTGAAAAAAATGTAGGTTGTCAAACAAGATTGTTTCTCCATCTTCTGGCTTGCGATGTATTTAATGAAATAAATAATGTGTTTTTAGCCAACCTCAGGAAGAAAGCTTGTTGCTTTCAGAATTTCGCCAGCAGAAGTGTCCCACTTGTGGTTTCCAATATTGAAAACCACAAGTGGGACTTGTGATAAAAGTTTCATGAATCCCAAACAATGCTTTAAATAGTCTGCTGTTAGTTGGTAATAATTCAGTCCAGGTTTGACGGGTAGAGGTGCTGTACAGTTATAACTAGAGTAGATAAAAAATTATGAAGCTGGTGAAAAAATTAGGCGACATTGACCTTTAAGGAAGTTTCAAAAATCAGATGAAGGCTTCATAAATCACAAAGTTGGTTTTAAATCTTCTGCTATTAGAGCAGAATAATCCAGTCCAGGGTTGAAGAGTCTAGATGTTGTAGTTTTATTTTTTGTTTTGTTTTTTTTTAACTACAATAGATTAAAGATGCAGAAGGCAGGGAGAAATTAGAATTCCTCGCCAGCTTTTTAATGATTCGGAAACCAACTTCAGCTTCGTTGCGCGAGAGCCTTCAAGCCTGGAGTGACGCAGAAGAAACTGCGTGTTAGTTCAATGTGACGAGGCTCCAAGCCACAAACGTAACCCTAACCCTCTTTTGGAGAAAGCCATAACAATGATATTTACACTAAAAAGAAAACGCAAACATTTAACATGGTGTCAATAGCTGTTTTCTAGCTGCGCAATTTGTTGTTCATTTCAATTGAAATTCACAATTATTCGTCTTACTAACAAAACGTCTTCATTATTAATTCCACGGACCGTCACATCATTCCTGTGTTATCCCCACACCTGTCAAGTCTCGCGTTTTTTCCGGGAATCTAGTGTATTTCACCTCCGTCTCCCACTGTGCTCCGTATTAGGATTTTCTCGGAAGAAACGTTACTGACGTTACTGGCGTTACCTCCCCTCTTACGTCAGTAATACCCACGGTGACGTTACCGTGTGGTAATTAACATATCGGTTAGTTTGACACATTTCTTTTGAATGGGCTTACACGCTTTTTTTTTTTTTTTTTTTTTACCTATTTGTTGTCATAGTTTTCCTGACCTGCCTCGTCTCGTATCCGCTCACTTTTCTCGGACTCCAGTTAGCTAAAATGGCGCTGTTTATACCCTCAGTGATGAGGGGCGGGCCAAGGAGGACTGAAGAATTTTATTGGATAACCCCAATGTCCTTCAAAGACATCAACCAATGGGCTTTCGCCCATCTATATATAAAAAAAAAATTCCCTTCTCACCCACCGCGGGTGGTTCTTATCCTCTGAGCTCGGGTCCTCTACCAGAGGCCTGGGAGCTTGAGGGTTCTGCGCAGTATCTTGGCTGTGCCAAGGACTGCACATTTCTGGACTGAGATGTCTGATGTTGTTCCTGGGATCTGTTGTAGCCACTGCTCCAGTTTGGGGGTTACTGCCCCGAGGGCCCCGATGATCACAGGCACCACTGTGGTCTTCACCTTCCAGGCCCTCTCCAGTTCTTCCCTGAGGCCCTGGTATTTCTCCAGTTTCTCATGCTCCTTTTTCCTGATGTTGCAATCACTTGGTATTGCTACATCTACCACAACGGCTTTCCTCTGTTGTTTATCCACTACGACAATGTCTGGTTGGTTCGCCATTACCATTTTGTCTGTCTGGATCTGGAAGTCCCACAGGATCTTAGCTCTGGCGTTCTCCACCACCTTTGGGGGTGTTTCCCACTTTGATCTCGGGGTTTCCAGTCCATATTCTGCACAGATGTTTCTGTACACTATGCCTGCCACTTGGTTATGTCGCTCCATGTACGCTTTCCCTGCCAGTATCTTGCACCCTGCTGTGATGTGCTGGACTGTCTCAGGGGCCTCCTTGCACAACCTACACCTTGGGTCTTGTCTGGTGTGGTAGATCTGGGCCTCTATTGCTCTGGTGTTTAGGGCCTGTTCCTGGCGGCCAGGATGAGGGCCTCTGTGCTGTCCTTGAGTCCAGCTTTTTCCAACCATTGGTAGGATTTACTGATATCAGCCACTTGGGTTATTTGCTGGTGGTACATCCCATGTAGGGGCTTGTCCTCCCATGATGGTATCTCTGGCACCTCAACCTCCGTTCCCTGTTGTCTGAGACATTCACTGAGCACATTGTCTGTTGAGGCTTTGTCCCTGATGTATTTATGGATCTTAGTTGTTTCGTCCTGGACAGTGGTTCTCACACTAACTAGTCCTCTGCCTCCTTCCTTGCGGCTCGTGTACAGTCTCAGGGTGCTGGATTTGGGATGGAACCCTCCATGCATGGTTAGTAGCTTTCTAGTCTTAATATCTGTGGCTTTTATCTCCTCCTTTGGCCAGCTAATTATTCCAGCAGGGTATCTGATTACTGGCAGGGCATAGCTGTTTATCGCACGGATTTTGTTCTTGCCATTGAGCTGGCTTCTCAGGACTTGCCTTATTCGTTGGAGGTATTTAGCTGTGGCTCCTTTCCTTGTGGCTTCATCAAGGTTGCCATTTGCTTGTGGTATACCTAGGTACTTGTAACTGTCCTCTATGTCTGCTATTGTTCCTTGTGGGAGTGAGACTCCTGTGCATCACCTTCCCCTCTTTGTGATCAGCCGACCACACTTCTCTAGTCCGAATGACATCCCAATGTCAGTGCTGTAGATCCTGGTGGTGTGGATCAGTGAGTCGATGTCTCGCTCACTCTTGGCATACAGCTTGATGTCATCCATGTAGAGGAGGTGACTGATGTTGGCCCCATTTTTGAGTCGGTATCCGTAGCCAGTCTTGTTGATAATTTGGCTGAGGGGGTTCAGGCCTATGCAGAACAGTAGCGGGGACAGAGCATCTCCTTGGTATATGCCACATTTGATGGACACTTGTGCAAGTGGTTTGCAGTTGGCTTCAAGGGTGGTTTTCCACAGCTTCATCGAGTTTGCAATGAAGGCTCTCAGAATCCTGTTGATGTTATACATCTCTAGCATTCAATGATCCAAGTATGCGGCATTGAGTCATAGGCTTTCTTGTAATCGATCCAAGCCATGCACAGGTTGGTGTGTCGGGTTTTGCAGTCTCGGGCAACTGTGCGGTCTACGAGGAGTTGGTGTTTGGCTCCTCTGGTG